TGCGCTGAAAATTCATGATTTGCGTTTGTTATGCACATAGGCCCGTTCACACGATCCGATTTGTCGTATCCGATTGTTTCTGTTCCGACTTTTATTTGGTTTATTGCTCAGACTGTCGGATAATTTTGTTGATATTTATGTTCGTTTAGATATTTATATTTGTGTTATCCAGAACATTTATCGATATTTTCTTGTATTTTGTTCTTGTCTACTTATCTTTCTCAAATCTATGTAATTTGACTAGTCAGTTTTCTTTGATCTTGATTGATGAAAATAGAGCAAACTCTATTTTCACACGATTTTTTAAATGGACGAATTTGACTGTCGGAGGCTCACTTTTTGTGTTTACAGGATCCGTTTTTTAGGATCCGACAATTTTTCAGTAAACTATGTAATAAACTAATAGTTGCACCGTTACTCTACTCTACTCTACTCTACCATACCGTGCGTAACTTTTAGCCATTCAGATACGCTGTCTTTCAAACTTATCCAATCAGCGATTAGGTTACGATTGCTCTTAGTAACGCCATCGCGTTTGGGTTTGGCCATTGCAATGATTTCGTACTGAAATCATTAATGTTTCAGGATTGTGCTTTTCGTGTTTGGTACTTACTTTCTTTTTTTTTATCATGTTTTGCGGGGCAAAAGTACCTCTTCGCAAGGCAAATAAATCTCTTCGGTAATCAAAACAGTCTCTTTGGGGATCAAAACAATTTCTTCGGAGATCAAAATAATCTCTTCTCAAACAATTGGCGAAACCTTGTCTCATTTAACAGCAATCCAATGTGGACCGTGCTCCATTAACACGTTTCACGTTAATCGTTCGAATTACGGAATGAGATCATACGAGTATATATCACACTTTCTTATTTGTTTTTGTTTGGCAAACATTCGGACATGCTACTGATTATTGCGAATGTTGTTTAAGAAAATTTTGATGTTTTCGACAGTGAAGAGCACGTGAAGAGTTATTTATAGGATGATATGTATTATCACATGAAAATTACTCCGGTATCAAACTCCGAATTAACAAAGTCTATAGACATTCTAAAGTTTCTCTCAACCTTCAAACGGTTAATTGCGCGAATGGGGTGACCAAGCAAATTTTACTCCGACAGTGGAACGACGTTTGTAGCTAGAACAAGGATATTAAAAGAAATTAAGCTCGACGAGAACTTCAACGACTATTAGTTTAACAACCTATAGCAATTCAACTTTAGCCGAGCTCCATGGTGGGAAACTCAGTATGAAAGGTTGATTGGTCTGATCAAGCAGGTCTTTTACAAATCGATCAGCAACGGCCGTCTGACCTGGGAAGAACTCGAGGAAGTAATTTTGGATGTGGAAATCACGTTAAAAATCTATCCACTTGGATGCATCAAAGACGACAATCAACTCCCTTTTTCTTACTCCGAATTCAATGCACTTTCGACAACCAAACATTATTCCAGAGCAGCAAGAGCAGCGAATCGAGGATAGCAACCTTCGACGCAGAGCAAGGTATATACGGCGCTGCAAGGAAGTGTTATGGAAACCGTGGCAGACGGAATATTTGAGAGAAATACGTGAGAGATATAACATGAAATATAACGGGAAAAAAGGCAAACATCAGCATTGGTATCGTTGCGAATATAAAGGGCGAGGAGAAGAATCGACTCAAATGGACATTTAGAGTTGTGGAGCGATTAGTAACAGAAAACGAAGGTGTTGTACATGAAGGAAAGCTGCGAGTTGCGAAGAGTATAATTGAACAACCCCTCCAATTACTGTAACCTATAGAGTTATCTTGTGACGTAGCCAGTAAACATGAGACTATCCTGGACACGGATATGAAGGTAGATGCCCCTGAATTCAAACGAAGGAGAAATGCCGCAGCTGTTTCAGAATGTCAAATACAAGACCGAGTAGAAAAAGAAGAGTAGGAAAATTAAGAAAACAAAGTAATTTCAATCATTAGAAAATTAACATTTCTTAATATTAATAATTTTATATTGTTTGTTATAATGGTAGTTTTCTAGTAAATGATTTGTATCTATATTCGTTTCCAACGGAGAACGAATAGGAGGAGAGTGTAAGGAAATGTGACAATTTGAATTACGTAATCATATAGTTAGTCATTAGTAAGATAAAATCACGTGAAAACAGGGTATATTATAGACTGTATTCAATAGAGATAGGTAGTAATTTTGAGCCTTTAGTCGATGTAAAGCAGTGATTAAATAAAACATAGCAAAACTTGTGAGTTAGCTGGGGCTGTATCCAAATACAACCCAACAATAACGGACTGTTCCCAGGAACAGCCTATCAATACCGGACTATATTCAGATACAGTCAGCAGGAAACAGGGGGTCACATGGCTGTATCTAAATACAGCCCGTGGAGCATCAAGAAAAAAGACTTTATCGTGCAATAACATTATATATATAGGTGATTATATTTGTACTCGCTCGTTTTTATCCATGCACATAAATAAATCCGTTTTATGACAGGAAAAGAATGATAGGAATGGAGCCAGAAAAAGATTTTCTATAAATTTAATATCGATATTCATGATACATATGTTTTTATAGAAACATGACGACGCGAGAAAAATTAAAGTTGATTTGAAATCTTCAAGATTGAAATTATTGCTAAGTTATTGTATCGTAACAAGTAAATCAATTAAGTCAATGATTAATATGAATGTTTTATGCAGTGCGGTGTTTTGAAATTAAATGAGATATGATCTTCGCACTTAGCTGGACAATTTAAGCAATCGTCTCAGGACCTGAAAAAATCAGGTGACTCAACGGGATCCCGTTGAGTCACCTGATTTTTTCAGGTCCTGAGACGATTGCTTAAATTGTCCAGCTAAGTGCGAAGATCATATCTCATTTAATTTCAATGATTAATGTTGTATTTTGTACATACAGTCATTGTTGTGTAGTATATACAAATGAAAAGACAAAATTCTGCACACAAATGCGGAAATACATGTTCGACTTGCTGTATTAATGGCTTTTTTTAATTAGTGTTCAGACTTACCTACCTTCATTGTTACAACAAGATTAAATAGAGGCTTTTGTCTGCTATTCTTTCTTCACTGGTTGTCTAATAAGTTTACATTCCTGCTGCTAGAGCTATCATTTCAATAACTTTTACTTTTTAGTACAAATGTTCCATGGAAACTTTACAGTACTGTGGTGTGTTGCAAATGTTTGTATGAGTCAGTCAGTACATGTCAGTCGTAGTGTAAAGCTTCCAATGGGGTGTCTAGCATCAACGCTCATTTTATGTTTCATGATTTTTTAGAGATTTGTTATCAGTGCTTAGAAATATCTAAATGCGCACGCACTAGTTTTCTGCAAACTGTAAAGGCTTACAATAGTACAATGAAATTGCTACAAACACGAAACGTTGTAGAACATTCATTTATCCATAAAAATTTGCACTTTAACTATAACGCTTTTCGTTAGTGCTGGCACCATGTTAACTACCTGAAGTTTTTGTAAGGCTCGAGTTTAGAATGTTATCAATTCTGGATTGGCTACATTCAAATACCTCGCGTTGGTGAGATGATCATGGACATAGGACAGCAAAATTAAAATTTCCGCAAACATCTACTTTTGTATGAACTATTAAAATTTGCATATATAATGTCTACACTGATGCTACAATACCATTTGTAGTTATGCACTTCTCCCTTTCATGGGTCAATGGTCGGTCATTGTGTGTTGAGAGTTGTCTATCTTGTCAAAATATAAGACGTTTGACCCAAATACGTGGAAGTCACGCGAGATCACGCGCGTGACCCACAATGCATTTAAATAAGGAACTGCAGCCTGCTGTGAGAAATATTTAAAATTCTTTATGTTATCATCCACATCAACGTTAAATATTTTTCTGGCGATATATGATCATGATATCAAAAAATATTCCTTTCATCCAATAAAATAGTAAGATAAAGATTTTTGATTGGTTTTCTTTTTACAATTTTTTGCTGACCGTTTTTTATGGCTGTCACGACTTTAGCTGACTTCTTGACATACTTAGCATAATAGTTACCATGTTGGCCCTTCACCCCAATAATAATTTTTTGTTCTGTGGAAAATCAAGCTTTACTTCAAATAAGTTATAGATAGCTGCTCATTCTTTTAATGTCATCATTACAGAAAAATGTTAGCTTTTTAAAAATTACAAATTATAAATAACATCGTGATTAAACGTTCATTCACGTCATTTAAATTAAATCAATAAATAATCAACGGAAAATTGTTAACTCACATGACGTGCGTATTCCATGGTTCAGTGGAGTATTGTTAAGATGAATGTGATAGGGGCCTTTGAACAATAATAACAACCAATTGTTAGAGCGATTAATAATTTTTGTCTTATTGCGATTGGTTTAGACGATCACAATAGATTTTCCAGAATTGCAGTGGTGGTTCTGATCGTAATTTTTATCATGCTTTAGCAAAATACTATGAAACGATAAAACAATCAATTCCAACAGTAAGCTTGACTGTGTTAGCTCAGTTGGCTATAAGTCGAAATCGGTTAAACTAGTCGCAATAAGACAAAAATTTAACGAATCAATTACACTATTGACCAATGGAATGGCTCAAATGAGCGTTCTTAAACTGCCTTATCCATCAAACCAGTCGAGCCACCTCACTTATCAGTCAGTCAGTTAATATAATTCGAGATATGTTAAAATCCACAGATCTGTTTACCAACTAGATATTTATTTAGGTTTTCAGAAGTAAAACAGAATTTTGTCAATGTATTTCCAACGATAATAAATCGGGAATTAAAAGATCACAAGAAATTGTAATCATTAGATTTGATAAGTAATTTTTGAACTATAAGCATCAGTCGCGTGACTGATTTGAGAAAACCTAGATCTGTGCCCTTATTAATTTATAATAGTTTGGTTGTAAATATTAATATTTCATGCACCAAACTCTTCTTTAAAAACGATGAATTTGTATCATTAAAGTGTAAGCTGCTTTTGGCTTTAGATGTTGTGATGGCGTCAGCTTTAAGGAAGGCGGAAGAGAAAACTAACTGGATTAAGTTGATGGGATTGATTGTTGATTGTGGTGGAGAGGCTTTAAGAATAACATTGAGGAAACAACTGTCAGGTACTGATTTATTTAATGTTTTAAATGACAGTAAAAATTATGATAAACTTTTGTTGCTAAAAGATAAGCAAATAAAGCAACATCAATGGGATTTACTGTATCCTCATCCTCCAACATTACCAAATGAAAATGAGTTTGACATTACTTTACTTTGTCTTCTCTTGCGTAATATTTGTGGTATGAAGCCATCGCATGATCCAATCTGGACGTCAGTAAACGATCCCAATGATCCTTCAACTGAAGCAAATATTACTCGTATTAGGCTTTTTCGTAATGCGAATTTTGGTCACAATCCTAAAACATCAGTAAGCTTTGAAAAATTTGGAAGTTTATGGTTGGAAATAAGCAAACCATTACAAAGTTTAGGAATAAGTAAGGAAGAAATAGATAGAATAAAGAATAAGTCATTTGGTAATGAAGAGTGTGAAAGGATTTTGAAAAAATGGGATGCGTTCAAAAGCGATTTGACTGATCTTATTCAAACTCATCAGAAAGGTGTTAAGAGAACTGTGGATGGTTTAGAGAAAGAATTGGAACAAGTAAAAGATAGCGTCTCAGTAATTAAAGACGAAGTGCATGAAATACGACATCACTCTCACTTAGGTCCAGAAGAAGATATGTTGACAAAAAAACTTGTAAGTTGTAACTTTGAAAGTGAAATAAAGCATCACTCTGAAAAATTTTTAGAGGGAACACGGGAATGGGTTTTTAATGAGTTTTTAGCTTGGTTTGAAGACGATACTTCTCAAAATCGCGCATTTATTATTTCTGCTGTTGCTGGTATGGGTAAGTCTGTAATTGCAGCTACTTTATGTAGACGTTATCCTCAATATTTGTCTGCAGTTCATTTCTTTCAACACAACAACAATCGTTACAATAAAGCCAATGTACTTCTTCAATCTTTAGCGTTGCAAGTTAGTCGTAATTTTCCTGCTTACAAACAACTTCTTGTGAAAAAACTTTCAGGTCAACTCTCTCAGCCTTTGAATAACATGAATGTTGAAGGATTATTTTCCCTTCTTTTTACTGAGTTGTTTTATAATATCTCAGAACTTCCCAAGCGAATGTTAGTTGTGCTGGATGCTCTTGATGAATGTGGTTATCTAGAAAGAGATGACCTTACTAATTTGATTGCCAACCACTTACACAAACTTCCGCCTTGTTTTCGCTTTGTAATTACCACGAGACCTAACGAAGTTGCTTTGAATAAGTTCGAAAAATTAAATCCACTGTTCATTAATTGCAGCGATGATCGCAATTTAGAGGATATTAAATTTTTGATTGAAGAAGGAATTGGCTCTACTGACAGCCTTCCTAATTTTAAAAACATTTTGGTAGAAAAAGCTGACGGACTTATATTGCTTGCTTCGCTTCTTAGCGGTGAAGTGAAAAATCAGGATTTGTTGAATGGTTCCATACCAAAAGATCTCAATGAATATTATGAAATTTGCTTAACAAGATTAAGTAAGGAATTATTAGATTCGTATAATATCAGTGAAAAAGCATTTCTATTAATGTTAAGTATTTTGACTGTAGCTAAAGGACCTCTTCCGTGGCAAATAGTCGAGAATATACTTTGTTTTAATTCGAATCGCACCTCAATTGGGGTTAGAAAAATTATCTCTTGTCTGTTTGTTACCAATGAAGAAGGATGTGTTTCTTTTTTTCACAAATCCTTAATTGATTGGTTGTTGGATGATCGAACACATGATTACTCAGTAGAAACTTCACGTGGTCATCGAGTTGTTTTACAATTTTGCTTAAAAACTTTGGATAATCTCAAATTTGAAGATGTAAACTATGACAAAATTAATCATGTGACAGTGAGGTATTCAGTCAAGTATTGGTTGCATCACGCGCTGGAAATTTCCAATAACAATGATTTGGCTCAAAATGTTGGTAAATATCTCATTGACTTAGAAATTTTACTTGCCTCTGTTTGGATTGATGCAGGTCTTACTTTGGAAAATTTTTTCTTGATTAATGAGCATGCCGTGTATTTTGATCTTCTTGAGAAAATTCGATCATTATTTAATGACATTTACGTTGTTCTTACATGGCATTTTAATGGTGATGATGAAAAGGAATTTTTGCAAAATGTTATTAATAAAGTTAATGGTCTTGCGTCACAGGCTTCCGATTTGTTTAAAACACGTTTTAATGATCACCCATATCGCGAGAACATCAACACAGGTTTTGTCAAAGCTCGGCTTTCTCAACTTAGAGCAAGAGTAGTATCGTTCGATGTTTCTAGGAAACTTGATTACGTTGTTTGTGGGTATCGCTCAAACGTTGTGCAACTTTTTTCGTTGAGCACAAACAGCTGCTTATGCATAAAAAACATGAGAATTCAGTTAAAGGAAGTGGAACACATCAGGTGTTGTGTTGTCTTTCATCCATTTAAAGATTTAATTTTTGCTTCTCAACTAGACAAGGTGATAGATTTTAAAGGGAAAATATGCCCAAGTCCGTTCCATTGTGATGATTTTACTTCGAAGTTGTTTTGCAACAAATGTTTTTCTAAGGATAAGTACACACTGGTCACTAGTTACAAAGATACTTTGACAGTATGGGACGTTAAAAAGGAAGAAAAGAAGCAAAGTTTTACATTGCACAATTACATAACTTCGCTCTGTTTTAGTAAATCCGAAAGATTCTTGGGTGTTACTGAGGAGGAAGAGGAGGACGAGGAGGAGGACGAGGAGGACGAGGAGGTGGAGAAGGGGGTGGCGTTTCGTATATACGATTTATCGAATGGTTATGAGCCATTCGTTTTCTCGCATAATTTGCCTACTGGTCTTCGTATTATGTCCAGTATAGGTGATAATTCTTGGTGCTGTAAGTCTGGTAAGAAATTATTCATTGTAAATCCCAATGGGGAAGAACTTACTAATTTTGCTAGTAAGAGCTTGTATGATTATTTGTTTCCTATTGATCCTTTTGATAACATCATTCCAAGTTCTTTTTTCCCCAGCAAATACATCAAAAATTTTTTTTGTTTGTTAAATGACGACAATGTGCTCGTGTTTTCCAAGGGAGTCTTTCCTTTTGTATTTTTAGTACCGCGCACACACTTAACAACTGATGTTAAATGTGGCAGTAAAATTTGCACCAATGGCAATTTTCTATACCAGTTTAATGACTTTGAAGAAAGAAGTCAAGGAAAATCAAATTTGATCATTAAAAATCTGAATACGGGTGACACTTTTGTAAGGAAATGTCTTCTTAAGAACATGTTAGCAGTAAAAAATGCAGTAATTTTGCATAGAGAATATGATATTCCAGAGCTTTGGAATAATGACGTGACAAATTTGCTGTACAGTTTTGATGAACTGAAAGGAACCAAGAGAATTTTGAGTGTGAGTGATGTATTAATTGCTTGTCAGACAGGTGAATCTTTTGTGTTTTTTAATATCGAAAACAAGCGAAAAGAATTTGCACTAAAGTTTAAAAGACGTAAGCATTTCTCGGTATTAGCATGTAGCGTTAAGTTTCATATGTTTGTAATAGACTATGTTGAGAATAAAGAAACTTACTCTTTGTGGTGTAGAGAAAATCTTGTAGATGGTTGGGAAGACATTTGTCAGAATCAAATAAGAAGTGTTGATCATGCTGAATTTTCCCCATTGGCAGATAAGTTGTTGGTGTTACGGTACCGCGATTTTCTACACGTATATGACGTCAATGACAAACAAATTATTTATAATGTTACAGGAGATCAAGTTGAAGGTAGCATTGACTTTGTGGATAGTAGATACATAATACGTGTATATTCTCCTGAGTTATGGTTGGTTGATACTAAAAATAAAACAGATTGTTGCCGTCACGAACTTTCATTTCTTGACGTGTATGCACATTTCTGCCGCAAAAGCAAACATGTTTATACCTTCTTTGACGATAATAACGTTTTGGTTGAAGGATTTAAAATCAACTTACCTCAAAAATAATATGGATCATTCAACGCAATATTTTTCAGTTTGTTTGATCGATGATGACATATTGCTCTTATTCCATGACCATGTTTCTAGTTTCTATGATAGCCAAGAAAACCCATGCATGCATTGATGTCATTTTTTTCAAACGTCATATTTTCAGTGATTGTAATTTCATTTCATTTTTTCAGGTGATCACTATTTATCATGCCATTTTTTTTATTAGGAACGATTTCATGTCGTTAGCCATATGTCACAACCAAAATTTATAGCTACATATGCTTTTTGGATTGTTTTCATTTTTCATTAAAGTTAAATATGCTGTATCATGTAAAAGGAATTCTTATTTTATAGCAACATAATGACAGTTAACTGTTACTGTTGCACATTTCTATTACATAACTGTGATCAAATTCTAAGATAATGTGAGGAGGACATGAAGATATTAGCCAATGGAAACGTTTATTAACGTTATTGTCAATATTGGCAAACAACGAAACACTAATTGATTGAAATCTTGGGACACAGTGTGTTTTGTTTCATTCTGTCTCAATCAATAAGTGATATGACTGTTCTCTTTAGTCTCAGTCAATAATTGCTAACAACAAAAAAACATAAAACGACTTATTCCACATAAGGTTCAACACAATAAATTTCGACATATTCTTTAACAAACTCTCAGCCCGAATCGGTCTAATTGTTTGTAGAAGAATATGTCGAAGAATATGTTGTCATAAATGATTAAAATAGTGGTATTTCGTTCAATTATTATTATAGGATTTTGGGTTAAGCTTGGCAAAGATCAGTACGAATGTATTCAATTTTTGCACAATTGAGAGCGTTAATTAATTATAAATTTTAACAATAAGCATGGGCAGCGCAGTGTGTTGTGTCTCGGAAAGATCTTAACTGGATTTATTTTGAAGAAAGTAGAGCATTTTTGAAAGCCAAGCTCATGTATATGCGGTTAGGCAAGCTTGTGTTGTTAAAATTTATAGTTAAAGAGGCTCTTATCTATGACATTACTGTCTAAATAATTTTAAATTCACTCTATTATTCATTTTGTACTTTACACTGTCTTTTACTACAAAACTTTGACTAGTATGAATGCTGAAGTAAATTTAAACAAGAAATATTAAAGCAAATATATAGAAAACCAAACCAAGTGCACCAAAAAATTTGAAGAAACATGTGAAGCAGTAAACTTTCAATAGAAATCGACTTCATAATGGACATTCAATTTTGTGATAAACAAGTGCCCATTGATTCTAAACACTCCACATTATGTGTGTTATTGGTCCAAACTATTACGAACAAGAAAAGTTAACAAAAGTTGTAAAGAAATTTGCAAATATAAAGAAAGAACAAAAGCTATAGTGCTACATGTGAAAGGATGTTCGAGGATACATCAATGACTTTTACTGAGAAATTTTAAATCAAGAATTTTTGTTCTGTGAACACCTGTGCTTTGTGAATAAATCATATTATTTATGGACTGCGACAAAAGAGAGCTTTGTATTGTTGGAAAAGCGAAGCCCAAGAACTTAATTAAACTGTATTTGTAATAAAAAGTGTTAAACAATTAAAAGAACACTATCCACTCAAAGATTTGTGAGCATACTGGAAATGGATGTACAACGAGACTTGAAATGTATTATTTCATAGCATATTGAAAATTTTCACTCTCTTAATTCAAACCAAAAGAATGACTAATTTATCTACAAAAGCACTTTGTGGCACAGTTTTCTACTTTTCTCAAACTATGAAATTTCATCTGCGAGCAGAACTGGAAGACAAAAGATATGTGATTTTACTGTGATGTTGGTTATTGACTTTGTTGACAACACTTTTAAAACATGAAAGTGAAAAAATGGTCATCCACACAACCGTTTTCAAGGGAATTTCAAATCTCGTTAAAAAACTGTAAACAATTGAAGTGAACGAACATTTGTAAGAGAGAATAGAAGAAAGTCACATGATTACAAAGGTGTTGTAGCCAATCAGCTATCATTCAGCATTTTTGTTTTTTGCCTCAACCTGGAGTGACAGTTTCATGCCTACTTTGTTTCATATAAATAGTATGTCTAGACTACAGTAACATCAATATGTAACGTCAATCTACAACCATGAGAATTATGCGATACTTTGAACGTTTTTAAGGTTAAATAGTTGGAATGTTATTAAACAAAAAGAATGATAGCACAACGCTATAACCAACAACTACAAACAATAACGACCTTATCTAACAACATTTGAGAAATTAACCTCCCACTCCTCTTCCTTGTAAACCAGACAAGTCTACTCAAAAGCAGAGAGCCTATACGCTACAAGTTTGTCAGGGCAATGATGTATTGTCTAACATTAACACCGGATTATGTTACTGATATTTAATATGGAATTCGAGCTTTGTCCATATGAACTGTTCAACATGCTTCCAAACAAAAAAATGAGCAGGAATATTCAGTTGATTAATCTATGATAAACCTTTCACCTTTTAACTCTGCTATACCGGTCACAAGCCCGGGACTTGTAGCGTATAAGGCTCTCTGCTTTTGAGTAGACTTGTATAGTTTACAAGGAAGAGGAGTGGAAGGTTAATTTCTCAAATGTTGTTAGATAAGGTTGTTATTGTTTGTAGTTGTTGGTTATAGCGCTGTGCTATCATTCTTTTTGTTGAACGTTTTTCTCAGGAAGTTAAGTTTTTTAAGGATTTTTCAATGGTTATTTTTAAAGTTTTCTATGGATTTTTTATATGTGTCGTCAATAAATGTAGTGTAGCCAGTTTACTCATTAAGTGTTACTGTGCAAATTTATAAATTGAAAATTAATTCTACAGAAAGAATGATGATGATGCTCAAAAATTCGCATAGCAGGACTAACATGAGTGAGCTAGTTTCATTATCAGTCAATGATTTATTGTTGTATGGAACTATGTGTATATGATACGACTACCCCCTTGAAGGAAATGCAGTAGGACACTTTGTAGGACAATAGCAGGCAGTTGATATTTGTGTCAAAAACTTGGCAAAAACATAATGGAATATTTTTATTTGATTTTATTAACAAGTATTTCCGTGACTTTTATTAATTTTGCAATGTAATGTAGGATGCAGTTGTTGTAAAGAAATCTTTTTGTTGAAAAATTATTGCGTGTTGTGTGTGTGTTTGAATTATGTGACTCCAGTGATCCCTGACGTAAAATGCTGCTATAAATTATTTCATATTTATCACTAGCGGCAGTTAAACCAAAAGACGTGCTATAAAAAAGAAAATGATCTTATTTTTATCGACGTCGAACTTTTGGCATTTTTCTAGATAGGACTGAGCCTTTTTTACTTAAGAAATATTAATCTATGTCAAATGTCTCCAACAAAAACAGCTTAAAAGTTTTGTTTTTATACACAAGATAGAAAACAATAAAATTTGAGTGCACGTTCCATATTAACTAAGGGAAATATGACTATGCTCTATCCTTCCCCCCTAACTTTCTTTAAAGATGTAAAGTTATACAGTTGCAGATAATAGGTAGAAATGTGTTGTTCGTTCATTGTGTAAAGCTTCTATTGTTGTTCTTTCTTTTTATAATCAAGTAGTCTGTGCTTGTGGTTACTAGTTCTAGCAGGTTTGGCTTTGATGGTGTAATGGTTTGCGCTGGTAAAGATATTTTAACGCTTTTTGCAGTCTGTCGTGGTAAAGGTCTCTGCGATCATTGTTCTTTTGTCGTTTCTGTAAGTGGTTTGGGAGGGGGCATGGATTGCTGCTTATTGGTGAGATTTGGTTGAAATTATTTTATCCAGTGTATATTTGGTCATCATGAACAGTTCATTAGCATTAGTGCATATGGGTTTATGCTCTTCAAGTGATGTTAAATAGTGAAAAGATTTCTGCTCTTCTAGTGATTCTTTAAATCTGTTAACTTTGGTGTGATGTGGATCGTGTTGCAGAACTTTGATGACGATGATTACAAGTTTTAATCCATTCTGTTGGAGGTGGCCCTGTTTGGTTTTTATATCTAATATCCTATGTTTTTCTTGTGTGTTTTGGAGCGTTAACGAAGGTGAGACTCTTGGATGTGCTTATGGCAGTTTTTTAAAGCCTCTTCTTAAGTCTGAGTGTACAATACTTATGTTTTTTCATAGTGTTGCTCATAATTTGTTTAGGCAAGCCATAAATCAACAGATCTTACTCCACACTTAATTTTCAACTGTCGCATTAATTTTTTTCTTGGGTGTTATACTAATTGTAACCAACTAGGTTATCATTTAAGGTACTTCACGGAAACCAATATTGTCTTTTTTGTGTTTTTGCTTATCTATGTTATCTACAGTGGAACAAGTTGATTGTATTTACGACAATCATTCACCGTGTGGTAATTTAAGTGGGTTTGACGTTTTGTTCACTGTTGGTCTTCATTCTTTGTGTTTTGATTGGAATTGTCGTTTTATGACGACGCCTTTCATTTTAAATCCCACTTATGAGGAACTTCCTGACTTAGATCCTCTTCTTCAATTTTCACGGTATCCTTTCGATCTTTTCGATGACAGCACATCAAGCTTTCCCTTGAAAGATAATGCAGGAATGTTTTATTTTATTTTGTATAACGACAATGTTCGTTTGTTTCATTACGGTTATGACTTTCATCTTTGTTTAATACGGCGTGAATGTTTAACTAACAGTTACAGTTTTCATAACCAGAAATTTTGCTCAAATGAAAAAATTTTGTATCGGAAAAGTAAAGAAAACTCGAAGGTCAATATATACAATCTCAACAAATTAGACTTTGTTATCAAGGAATGTTTTGTTAGTTACATGGTTACTGTAGAAAATGAAATTATTTTGCTTACGGTGAACAATATTCCAGAGCTTTGGAATAAGGATTTGACAAAACTTGTTTATAGTTTCGATGAACTAAAAGATACAAACAAAATTTTTGAGGTAAGTGATGAATCATTTGCTTGTCAAAAAAGTGATTCTCTTGTGTTTTTCAATATAAGAAACAAGCGAAAAGAAATATCAGTGAATTTTGAAAATTATCGAAATGTGCACGTGTTTGCATGTAGCTCTAAGTATCATTTGTTTTCTAAAGTTGAATTAAATGATCAAATAATTTACTGTATGTGGCATAAAGGCAAACTAATTAATGGCAACATAGCTCAGGAAGTAATCGCCACAGTAATCAAGTATGAAGACAATGAAGACACTAATGAAGACATTGAAGACATAGATGAAGACATTGAAGACATAGATGAAGACATTGAAGACATAGATGAAGACGTTGAAGACAAAGATGGAGACATTGAAGACATAGATGAAGTCATTCAAGACATACATGATATTACTGACTGTATTCATTACGCAGATTTTTCCCCTTCAGCAGATAAATTATTAATGAGTGGCAAAAGGTATGTGAAATTATTTGTCGTTAAAGACGTACAAATTATTTATATTTTAATTACGGCTTCAGATGTGCCTAGGTTTTTCTTTGTTGATGATAGATTTATAATTAGTAATTGCTTGGCTTTGGTTGATTTGAAATATTTAAAGATAGTACAATTATATCTTCCAACTGTGACAATGTTTCATGCATATTTTTATTTCTGTCGTAAAAGCAAACTTGTTTCAATATTTTCTTCTTTAGAGGTCGCGGTACAATGCGTAAAAATCATCTTGTTACGAGAATAAATTCGATCTTTGATAATAAAATTTTTCCGTATGTTTTATCATGACATGTCAAATACATTATAATGTCATTTTGTTCGTATGGCATTTATCATAAAGGAATTTTATTTGTAACAAAATATTTTTTACAACTTGCGCTCTTTATTGTGCATAAAAAATAGCATTAAGTTCACATAAATTATTCAAAAATACAAGTTGAAATTTCAATAAGACATATGTTAGTGAAAAGTTGAGACCTGACCTGACGAATCACGAGTTCACAAATTGTCTGCCGAAATGCAGAGTGACAAATCTCTAAAATAGTTTTTTCTGAAACTTTGGGTTTCTCTTAGTTTTCTTTTGAGAGATTTTTTCTGTTGTCTCATGGATTTCTTGGGGTTTTTTGCGTTTTTAGGACAATCAACATGGCAATTACGCTTTCGAAGGCAATATTTAAATTGGTCACCTCGACAAAGTCTCTGTTTTGTTATCTCAAAAGAACCAGTGTTACCAATCAAAATAATATGACACATTGTTAGTCTACGTACTTTTATATTCACAATATTTTATGTAAGCTTTATCCATGGTAAAAAAAGAGGTTGAGCGTAATTTTGTAAGCTGAATATTTTGGAATCGTACAATAACTGACACTACACTTTGTGTCAGTGACAAATAATTTTTTAGTGAAAGTTAAATTATCGTCTTAGATGAGAAAATTATTTTTGTTCTCAATAGTTGTTTTTTAGTATTGTATCTTAAGCTTTCATTAATTAATTTTAGTTCTAATACATGATCTCTAAAAATTTTTTGAAAATTCAACTACTTTTGTCTGCAATAATACGTCTGTCTAAGCGTACGATTTCATGAAACTATCTTTGTTTTGCTTCGATTGTACTGTACAGGGACTGCAGTTTGACGATAATGTCGAAGATTTTGGACATCATGTATAAAAACATGAATTTATCAATCAAAGAATGAAATTTAACAACAACAACAAAGAAGACCTAAGAACTTAAATGACCTTTAGGTCTAAGTTAAGAATTTTAATGAGAAAACAAACTAACTTTATTGGCTTTTATCTTACACAAAACACATAAAAATCAAACTAGTGTTAGTTATTGCACCATAAGACAGAATATATAATATTACACAAGGGTCACTTGTTTTCGAGCCTTTGATGTTTTTGTCCTCATACATGTGGTGTCGCGCATATCGGCCGTCATTACTCTGGCAAGACATTTTGGTTTTTTTACTTGTTCTTAAACACTAAATTGAGTGAACATCATTTCTTTCTGAAATATTTTCGATTTCATGAGGAAGAAATGACGTCATGTTGCTGCAGCGGTTGAAAACAAA